CGGCTCGCCCCCAGCTATACTACGACCACATAGAATACAGGCGTGAAGTGGAAGCAATTCCGCGTTTCGTCTGATGAGTGTGGTGCTGGAGGCCTAATTTAAGCCCTTTTTCCTTTCCGCCCTTTTCTTAAGAGAAAGGATGGGAAGGAAAAGTGGATTTGACGGTGGAGAAAACGCATGGAAGTTGAAATGTCCTCTTTGTGTGCGTCTCCTCCGTCAATTAAGGGTAGACAACAAATCAGCAATTGCGGATTTATGGGCAGCGGTCATTTCGGTGGATTCAGGTGGCCGCTTGCTTGATTGCCATCTTATATTATAAAAAAACTGCTTAAATCTGTGTATTTGATACTCTGAAACTTTTCTAATACTTTTTAATTTTCTTTATAGTGATGTACCGTGTGAGTTCTGCGAGCAAGTTGTCAAACATCTGCGTGACGTTTTGGTTGCTAATACAACAGAATCCGAATTCCATAGAGTTTTAGTTGGTAAGTAATATTGAATTATATTTATTGATACATTAATACAAAGTTTGAGGTTTACATTAAAAAAAAAAAACAGATTATATGAAGTCTTCAGTAAAGGTTTTAATCATTTTTGTTAAAACGCTGAAAATCGATTATTTATTACTAGTTATTGGCTGGAACTATTCGCAGTTTAGTTGTAAATACAGCTTATTTTACTTATTGGTAAAGAAACTTACGAATAACAAAAAAAAGTTGGTCTAAATAGTTTTTGAATTTATTTATCATAAAAACAAAGATTCCCTTTGGATTTTTTTTTGAGTATGAACAAGATAAAATTATTCTAACATTAACTTTCGCATGCGACGCCGTCCACGTGGAATTAAAAAAAGACGAAAGTGCCTATGCGTTCTTTCAGATTATCCTCTACATCTATATCAAATTTCATCAAATCAGTTCAGCAGTTTAGGCTACAAGCTCTAACAAACATCCATCTTAACTTTCGCATTTGTAATATTGCTATGACTATGATTTTCAGGTCTCTGCAAACAAACAGGGTCATTTAAAGAGGAATGTTTAAGTTTAGTAGAAGAATACTATCCTATGATATACAGTTTCCTCGTATCTGAACTAAAAGCGGATGCAATTTGTGCTATGATGGGTATTTGCCATACTAATAGTGATGTGCCCGTCGCTGTGCTGTTGCCTAAAGAGCTGGCAGTTAAAGTGACACAATCTCCTCTGCTTATTGGCAATGATGAAGCTAATAGTTATACTACTCCTAAGGTTAGTATTCGTTCCCCTAATACATTTTTCAGTCCCTAAATGGGTGTATTTAGTTAAAATTTAAATTTACCTTAAAATCATATATATTACAAAAGTAACAATTACATTTAAAATACAATATAGATTAGAAATTTTTAACTAGATATAAAAATTGCAATTAAAATTATTTACGCCTAAAGTTAGTGTGTATTGTATTTAATTAAATTGTCACTTATTATGATCGAATTGTACTGGGGTTAGGTAGGGATTTGCTCGTTGGTGTATCATAAAATTTACTATTTTTCACTTTTTTATTTTGTGACATATTTATAAAAATATCTTGTTCATGATGTCATCCTTCATATTACCTCTTATTTCAACTCTTAGTCTTATAAAAAAAAAAATACGGGGTAACTAATTTATTAAGGAAAATTATAAAAAACCTTAATTCTACATATAAATGCATGTGAATAAAGACATTTAAGATATATACAGAGTAGACATATTGAACAATGTTTTTTCACCTGACACTTCTTTGAAAGGTTGGTTGTCAAGTTTAGTACCATCCCATGACCTTGTATTGACATGTAATAAACATTTTTACAAAAAATAAAGTAATACGCTCCATCTTTTGTTTTAAATTAAACTCAACAGTGTCGGAGAAAAAATATAAATATTTAAATATGTAGTGTCGACACCTATTGGCAAATCATTTAAATATAATTACCTAGCTTTCGCCCGCGACTCCGTGTGTGAACACATTCCAGACTATCATCTATATCTGTACCATTTCATCAAAATCTTTTCAGCCGTTTAGACTACAAACTCTAACAAACATCTATCCATCCATCCATCTAAACTTTCGCATTTATAATATTAGTAAGATAGGTATGTGGTTGTAAGAATCATGTGAAAAATGTCAAATGTCAACTATTCTCCGTTTATATATTTTTTTGAATCTGATGTTATCGGAAAGCTTGTATAAAGGTTATGACTATAATTTTTTTTCCAGTTGGCACGTGTAAGTCTAAAGAAGGAGACGAATGTGCGCATTATGAATGGCGCACAAGAGGCACAGCTGCCCATAGAGCGCATGTACGTGGCGGCGCCGCGCTCCAACGTCGCCTGCTCCTTCTGCCAGTACTTCCTGCACTACCTGCAGGTCGAACTAAGCGATGTTAACACTGAGGTGAGGATACACTACACTAGTTGTTGCCCGCGACTTCATATCTCGTTTAAATAAAAGTAATAACTTATGATACTCAACGATAACGTAGCTTTTTAATGGTTAAATATTTTTTTAAAATTCGGACTAGTAGTTTTTACGTGAATCGAATACATACAAAAATTATCATCTCCTCTACCTTATGCTACTCCCGTAGGGTCGGCGCTCTGAGTTTTCTTTCTCCAACTAACTCTATCCGTCTTCTCAGTCATCACTCCCTTCTTGGTCATGTCACCTTTTACGCAATCCATCCATCTCTTTTTAGGACAAAAATCCAAAAATATATATCTTTACTCTTTATAAAATCAGTATGGATAAAAATTAATTCATTTACTTGTATTTGTTCCAGAACGCGATCCAGGAGGCGGTAGAGAAGGCGTGCGACAAGCTGCCGGAGTCCGTGAACGGCGAGTGCCGGCAGTTCGTCACCGAGTACGGGCCCGCCGTCATCGCGCTGCTCGTGCAGGAGATAGACCCCGCCAGCGTTCGTATACGTTATCTCTTAATACTGTCTTATTTCCTTGTACAGTCAGCTGCATAATTTACACAAAGAACTAAAAACTTGTATTTGTATTCGGTTACTAAATAAATGTAAGCAATGCGTTCCTAACCTTCGGTGAATACGTGCTATTGACAGGTATCTTTAAAACCGCTGACCTATACAAACTCTAAAGTTATGTTTATGGAGCTCTAAAATATATGTTTAGGAATTGACTACATATTATGCAAAAAAAAAAAACTTTTTATTTTGAATACGCAAAATAATGTTTAAAAAACGCTATAACTGCCAGTGATTAAAAAAGTAATTAAAAAAGTCGATTTAAGAGTTATTCACTGTTTCTCCCCGAAAGTAGTAAACAAAATATAAACATGGTCCTTTAAGTGTGTTAATTACTTTCAATAGAAAACAAATATATTTCTAACAAAGTATGTTTATTACAGGTGTGTCCCGCACTCGGCCTGTGCCCGCAGACGAGCGAGGTGCGGCGCGTCGCCATCAACTCCGACAAGTCCAACTGCCCGCTCTGTCTGTTCGCCGTCGAGCAGCTCGACTCCATGCTCAAGAACAACCACACGGAGGTAATGTACAGACAAGGAAATACAAGGTGGAACTAATTTGTCTTGTTCCTAGCGATGAGACAAATTACGCCTCATATAACCAATAGCTGTTTGAATGTGACTACTGACAAGTCTCTGCCCAACTTCGGCCGCGTTTTAGTAACGCTAACCATTTACTCCTTCTTTACCATTGGAGCTAATCTCAAATTTCCTCTAATATACTATTTTTTTTAATTCAACGGCTGATATTTCATGTAATTTTTTTCTGGTTATTTTATACTAAGTGGAAATTATAAAAAAAGCCCGTCGTTTTCGCAACTCATTGCTACCTGATTGGTTATTATATGAGGCAAAGCTTGTCTCTGCAATGAACAAGTCATTGTTTTTAAAAATAGGACACTGTATTCCCGCGACTGTACTCGTCAAAAATAAGTATAAAGAGTGCTATCTCTTTTCGTTACATGAGGAATGAGAGAGATGACAATAACGATGACAATAATACAAGAAGTTCAATCTTCAGTTGTCGACATTTATGAGATACAATATATCTTTTAATATTGATGTTGAAGTCATACATTTCGTCTAATTTTTCAATAAAATTACCTTTTCGATGAAAATTATGTAATAGTTTAATAACCGTAATTTACGTTTTAACTATTCTACTTGTATAGATATGCTATTTAAAGAGAATTTAAATAATACCAATATGTATTCGTGTCATTGAAATCGAATATTATAAGAAAACTATTATCTTTCTTTAGGAAAACATTCGTCACGCATTAGACAATCTCTGCAACCATCTATCTGCCAAACTGCGCACCGAATGTGTGGACTTTGTTGACACATACACCAACCAGTTGGTGGAAATGTTGGCGGCCAACATGAACTCCACTGAGATCTGCGTGTTCTTGAAGCTGTGCGAGGACACGGTGCGCGACCCGCTGCATCTCACACACTCTATTGACAAATACCATCAACAACCGGCGACAAGAGCTGATAGGAATAACTTCAGAGGGAAATCTATGTTGCCCAAAGAAATGCTCGAAACTGATGGAGATTTGAGTAAGTTGATTTAGTTTTTACAGACTTTTTTAACACTTATCGTGGCAAAATTGATTTTTTTATGAAAAAGAAAATAAAACATAGGATACTAGCTTTCACCCGCGACTCTGGGATGGAATTAAAAAAACACAAAAGTGAGTAGCCTATGTGTTCTTCTAGACTATGTTCTACATCTATGCCAAATTTCATCCAGATCCGTTCAGCCGTTTAGACTACAAACTCTAACAAACATCCATCCATCTTAACTTTCGCATTTATGTTAGTATGAAGTATGATAAAAACTTCTTAACATCAAATAATGAACGTTTATCTTATATATGTATATACCATCTGTGGTGAAAATGTTCCGAACCTATTAGAATATTCATAAAAGCTTGGGTATATTTTCTGGCTTATCTGTTTTTTTAACCAATTTACAAGAGAGTTTTTCGAGTATGTCTGTTATATGTGGGTTTTGTATATGTGATAACCTAGAGCCTTAATAAATGGATCTGTTTTAACGAATTAGGTATCTTGCAAATCATCGCAAGATTGTCATATGATAATTGGATTTTTGATTAATTTCTCTGATTAAAACAATATCAAAATGTCCCTAAATTAATGTTTTATTGTTCTGATAGCTTGTAATGAAGTTTTTTTATGTTTGTTACAGTGACCAACGAAATCCCCGACCACACGGTGAACGGGCGACCGAAAGTGCAGCAGAAGGGCGTTTGCGTCATCTGCGAGTTCGTCATGAAGGAGATCGACGACCAGATCAAGGACAAACATAATGACGTATGTTCTTACATGGACTAACCAGAAATATATAAAATTATATAAAATGTAGCTTTTACTCAGTGATAACGTAGCTTTTATAGGTGAAATAATTTTTGAAATATATCAATACATACAAGAAAATACAAATCTTAGTGTAGACTATACTTGTTTTTTATTCAATTTGGCAATTATTGGTACATCGCATTGTAAAAATCATTAAAGCCAGCATTTTCATATTCTTGGTTAGGCTATATTTTGATATTTACGTTTTCCTTACTGTGAATAAGTTTAGTACAATATAGGCTATTGCTTTCTAATATTTTAATTCAAAAGACTTGATAACAGAGTGTTTGAAACTACTTTTGAGTTTTTTTTAAGAAAATGACAAGGACTTAAAGACAATATTTTTTACTATGTATAGATGTATGGATTTTCTTTTTTTTTTGCGTATTTCAGGACGAAATAAAGAAGATAGTGCACGGCGTGTGCAGACGCATGCCGAAGTCGGTGCGCGGCGAGTGCGACCAGTTCGTGGAGAAGTACGCGGACCTCGTCATCAGTCTGCTGGCGCAGGAGCTGGACCCCGCGGAGGTCTGCCAGGAGCTGAAGCTCTGTGACCCCACCGGTATTCGGGCGGTCAAAGGTACTTCAAATTCTTAAAAATGTTTGGATGGATGGATGATTTTTTATAATTCAAAATTATAGCTTTAATCGATTTCGTACAGAAAAAGGATATTTTCCTATACATTTGAAGGTATCTAATCTGTTTACCTTCTCACCCTTCCTTAGAAGGTGATTCGAGTAGAAAGGAAATGGAACTAAAATTAGGGATTTTTTTTTCTAATTTTAGTCCCCTTTCCTGGCTACAAATTAAAAAAAATACACAACATTAAATTTTACAGTATTTTTCTGCTATTTGTACAAAAGTTCAATGTTACGTCAGTGACTGATCATTTCCAAGAAATTATTAATGAATTAATAACACCCATTTTCCACCAAACCTGACTGCTTCCATTTTCTACAAATATATCATATAATAATAAAAAAAGATTATTAAAAGTGTATATATTATATACAGAGGCGATCCTGGACTGCGCGGTGTGCGAGACCGTGGTGATGGCGGTGCGCAAAGTGCTCAGCAACGATAAGATCGACCACGACATCGTGCACGTCGTCGAGAAGTCCTGTGCCCTGCTGCCCGCCAAGTACTACGACAGGGTAGGAGACAAGAACACATACAACAGCCCCTTACACAAAGTAACATTCGATTATCGCCATAGCTAATCGAAAGTCAATTTTTCTAGGGGGGCAAAGCGAGCCATTGAAGGATCGTTTTCGATGCTCTAGGGTGAATAAATTGGGAGACATTTCTATGCGGGAAAGGATTAAAAAGTATAAGCTAAAAACAAAATTTCCATAGTATCTTTTCCATTGGCTTAAAAATACCGTTAGCTAATGGAAAAGGTCTTGTAGTCATTTATACATTTTAATTTTGAAATTATCATTAATGTAAACATTTTTTTTAAATCCCAATCGTATGAATTCTTCCAATTTTCGTCTATACCAAATTTCATCAAGATCCGTTCTGTCTTTTAGGCGGCAAACTCTTACAAACACCAATCTATCTAAACTTTCGCATTTATAATATTAGTTACATTTCTGAGTAATCACTGCATAAAGCTGCACGTGACAGGCGATAATTGTACATTTTATAATAATACTAGCTGTTTCCCTGCGGCATCATCCGCATGAAATTATGAAAATTTTATTATAATGTTTACATTTGTCAAATAATCAATAGCAAATGTCAAAATGACATCACAAACCATAGCAATCTTTCTTTCTTGATGTTGGCAGTTTTGGTATCTTTTCCACATTAGAGTTTTTATCCAAAATATTTACCCCCTAAGTTTAATGGCGTGAAAATATATAGCCTAAAGCGTGACGAAAGTGTAGGGCTTTTAATTAAAAAAAGAATTATTCAAAAATATGCTGCAATTACTGACATCCTAGGCAACAAAGAAGTGTGTGTTTTCGCTTTATTATAATAGTATAGATTTAGATGTATGTAAACTACCATAGGCATTAAGGTTTTTCGGTTACTAACAAACTATGAACAAAAAAGAAATGTAACTGGAAATAAAATTTACTGTTATTTTTCTTTTTAAAATTACATTGTCTCCGTCTGGCTGGCTTTTAAGTATAAATAAAATATTATTGCAGTGCCACACGCTGATGGAGGTGTACGGAGACAGCATCATCCACCTGATTGAGGATCTCGGCACGAAGGGCGTCTGCGAGAAAATCGGCCTCTGCTCCGAGCGCAGCGCGGCATACGTGCACATGCAGCCTGCACACAACTGAGTAAGTATAACCTTTTCTACTAAAAAAAATAATCATTACCATCATCAACAGCCAAAAACATTTAAGAAATCATCGTCACCAGCCAAAGACATTTAAGAAATATTCAGATTAGAGCGTCGGTGGCTCAGTGGTATAAACACTTGACTTGTAATCTACAGGTCTTGGGTTCGAATCCCGCAGTACCAATGTGATTTTCGATTTTTCGAATTTTTATAAGTACTAAATTTACCCGAAGTTCTTACGGTGAAGGAAAAAATCGTGATGCAACCTGCACATATCTGAGAAGAAATTCAAAGATATGTGTGAAGTCAACCAACCCACACTTGGGCAGTGTGGTTGACTATGGCCTAGCCACCCTAACTTTAGGGAAGGTTCCGAGCCCCTTAGTGGGGACGTATAGTGAGCTGGTGATGATGATAGACTTGGCATAGTGACCAAACAATTTTCGTCGGTAATTTCTCTGACAGGTAATATATCAGTTGTTAAGATTAGTACGCCATCTCGTGTCCTTGTATTGCAAAATTATAATAACTTCCATGTTTTGTTACTTAATTTAAATACAATTAATTACATTGATACGGGTTTGAAGAACCAAGATCATGTGAAAAATGTTTAAAGTGAAATGTGTATGCCATGCCTACTCTATATTTTGAATTTCTTTGGTTTTTATACGACAAATTTTATGATTTTTCGCGTTCCTGCGATTCTGATCTCTAATGTTCCCCTTTTTACATAAGGAAATATTGAGAAGGGGGACGTGGATTTAGCGTAATAAGAGATGGGAGAAGGAAAGGGACATATCCCCTCAATAAAAAGGAGAAATAATAGACAAGGCATCTGCTAATGAAAATGTCTGGGCAGAGGTCATTTCGCTATTTTAGCGATTTCAAGTAGACACTTTTTTACCACATTATACAATAAAAATACATTGTTTTCATAAACAGTATTTTAACATTAGACTTGTATTAAGATTTGCGCCTAAGAATTATATTTAACAATTTGTAACAAAAACTTTAATTTTCAGGTTGTAGCAGTTCTCTATGGGCTTCAGGAGGATATTCGTAATCTCTAATATTAATTATTTACCAAATGTAATAAATGTCTTTGTAATCGGTTACTAATTCGATGTTTTCCAATTTTTTATTTTAAATGTGAACAATTAAATAGTGTTAAGTCTCTCAGTGAATATTTTGTTGTGACGTAAAGTTCATTTTTGTATAGACGTAAGGAAATTTAATCATTTCTACGGTTATTTGCTACATATTCAATGAAATTTATTAGTTGACACACGTTAGCCTGTGATAACAGTTTTTGTAACCGTGTTAAATAAAGTTTGGGAGTTAAATTGTTTCTTTATTTTATTTACATCCAAAAACTAAGTAAAAATCTGAGCATGAAGGAAAATGTACATTAATAAAAACGAAAACCAATTTCAAACCAAAAATATCTGAATTTTCAGTAAGCTTTTTGAACTCAGAAACTACTGTATGTTTTTTTTTAACTGTGACCAAACCGAAGTTATAATCTTACCGATTGAATCGAGAACCTAACTTTTTGAAGTCGGGTAAAACTCAGGGTTGCCATCGCAATTATTATATGTAAAAAATGTGTGCTACATGCAAGATTCCTCATTCAGGTATTTGTGTACACGTAGAGAATAATAAAAAACATCAATTTATTCTTTTGAAATTTACTATTAAACTAGAAACAAAACATAAATTAATATAAAAAGTAACAATTTTTGTTCAGTTATGAAAAATCTATATTTCTGAAGGTACGGGCGTATGGCATCTATAATCATCGCGTATTTCGTGACTGGGAGGTCCCATTTCTGGTTCATTAGGGTTGTTCCTGTGTAAATAGTTCGCCAGCCAGAGTATCGGCTCCGCGGGTCTCTCCCTAGTTAGTGCCGCGAGCCCCGGCCCCAAAGTTGCTGCCAAATGCTTCTGTATGTAATCATTTATCTGCATTTGTCGAAGTAAAGGTCCAACGATCACTGAAAAATAAAATTTAAATCTTCATTTTCTATTCTATACAGATAATAAAATTGGAGTAAATATAAATTGCCATCGTTGTAGTTCGCAGTTTGTCAGCTACCGTGAGCTCTTAACTTAGTTGAGCTGCAGCTTAACGGTTCCAAGCTCAATGGCTATGTGAGCTCTTTTAAACCGGTTTAAAGCAGTTTTACACACGTTTATTCATATATTACTAAGAAAACATACGAACTATTGGGAAAGAAGAAGTGTATCTCTCTCAAAGCCTCCGCGTGCTCCTTGCTGCCGTGCAGCGCGTTGAAGTAGTCGCCGTACTTAGTGCGCCGGCCGTAGCATGCGCGCAAACTGTCCGGCCAGTAGGCCTGCGCCTCCGCTACTCTACAATACATGATATCCTGGTAGTTACAGTCGCACACTGTCGTTTACTGGTCACTTAAGGTGTGACAGTGTGTTGTTTCATATTAAATCTACACTAAAGATCTCTAAGCAATCAATACAAAACTGAGTGCGAAAATTGTAAAAGAAGGTAACACTTTCCATGCTACTTAATTTTTTTGTTTAAAAAAAACAGCTTCTTTCTTTCTAGCTTCAAATTTAATATAACAGTATAAGTATAGCCTTATAGTTACTGTGATATTAAAATGTGAAATCAAATCGAATATTAAGTTTGACCAGGTCAGACAAGCTCTTCTATTCGTGTGTTGAAGCAGAATACTTATAATTAGAAGTCCGTCCCACCTTAAAGTACCCACATATATCCTTAACTTT